TTTTTTTTTTTTTTTTTTTTTTATATCTTCTGCAATGAATTGAGAGAGGAGATATAAAAGATAGGAAATGCAAGGATCAATAAGAAACTGTCGGAAGCTTAAATTTTCCCCGTAGGCTAGGAACGAAAATAACGTTTAGGCTCTGGTAATTATGATAACTTGATCATAATCTTCGCCGTCTTGGAGCTAGTACGCACGAAGAAACTTTGCGAACTTATTACCAAGTGACCTAAAGCCGGAGTAGCTTAAGACAGATTTATCATTTCGGTGTGTGGTTTAATTAGAAATTCTAACAAGCTTGAGCAACAAATATGGCGTATTTCGAAAGTTCCGATGTACCGTTTGCGTGAAACTAAACCACGGTCTTTTGGTTAAGAGATTCATCCGTGATTCTACCATCCCTTATTTATGAATGTCTGGAAAACAATGGTATGGTATAGAGAAAATTTGCATATAAATTCAAAGAGCACGGCGTACGATGCCTCTCTGTCCTTAATCGACACGAATAACCGAACGAAACATGACCGTCGAGTTACTTCGTAAGTTCTAATCGCGACGTCTCTCTGGAACTATGATATATTCTTTTCCATTCTTTATCATATAAAAATATCTGGGATAACGTTCACTGTCCAAAGTGGTTGTGTCCGGAGGATATTATTTTTAGTTTGCAGTCGGTTATATAGGAGCATTTATATTTGTTACGATTGTAGGATTTGTCGCGAATATTTCGCTATAAGAAATATCCGTACTTTACAAAAATCCGAGACTATTTTCTTCGACGATTATAGTTCAAGAATTAAATTAAATACTGCTACACTTTGCGAATTACCCTGCATTTGTTATAAGTTATTACTACGAAAGAATATAACGAACCTACCTTTGAGAAAATATGGAACGAAAGAAATCTCACTACGAATAACGAATGAAGTCCGTATCGTATTATAGAGCAAACATTTACGTAATTAAAAATCCAATTAACGGTTATCAATCAATTTCTAATAACACCGATTTTATATTTAATTATAATAAGACTTATTATATTTAATTATAATAAGAAATTTACATCGATGTTTTCTTACATAATGATAAAAAAAGATTATACAAATTACAAAGATCTCATTATTATTGTTATCCGAATCCATATTTAAAAAAAAAAAATAAAAATTCTAACTTGATATGAATATTATCCGCTTTCCATCTCAACTTCTATTATTCTAAAAATTTAAATTATATTTGATACTGTTATGGCAGCAAGTTTCGAGTTTTCTCTTCAACATATCACGGTAGAGATATGGAAGAAATGAACTCTAGCTTTTGTAAATCTATCTCGCAATCTTATTCGAGATACTAGAAAACTAATATTAGGTTTTATTGCATCCTGTTTCTTGATTTTAGATATTTTTGTTTTAGACCGAACAATCATGACAATCGAAGGATTTATTAAACCAATTTCCTCGCTTTTGAAAGATTTCTGGTAAGCGTTTTAAAACTACCAACACTCTACTACGAATATAGATATATAAATTTGAAATATTTCATTGTTTTCTCTGATTTGTTAAAATTAACGCAATAAATTGTATTTAGCTCAAAAAAAACTAATTGTTATAAAGTTAATCCCCTGAATAATATTTTAGAAGCAAACGAAGCATCGAAATATGATAATGCGCGATAAACAGTCCAATAACATATAAAATGAAAATTGAAGTTTCTGACCATGAATATGTATTTCGCTATAAACAAAGTATTCAATATAATTTGGCAAATAATCATTGTGATTTGATGATCTTTTTTACATAAAATAAATGTAAAATAAAAATAAAAATTGCATAGTTAAATTTGAATATAAAAAATAATTTTAATATTAGTAGAATGTATGAAATATTTTTCATAATTTGCGCATCTTAAGCGTGACATATATTTACATATTCATATCTTCATAATCTACACTTGTTGCATTCTCTTAACTATAGAGATAGCTAACAATATTCATTAACCATATAACCATAAACTATGTACATTATATACATTAGAAAAAAAATATAAAATGCATTTTACAATCTATATCTAAAATCACAATAATTTAATCTTAATATATCTAATAAATAATATATCTAAAAAATATATATCTAAAAAATATACAAATATATCTAAAAATATAAAAATATAAAATATAAATATACAAATATATCTAAAAAATAGTACAAAAAGCGTACAAAAAAATAATAATTGTTCATAAATAATAATATATTATCAATTAATATTATCAAGTATTAATATTATCAAATAATACTAACCTAGCAGGAAAATTGGTTACGGATGAAGATCCATTCTATCCGCGATCCCATTCATGTTCTTTTAATAAGCAAAAATTTAATTAATCAATATCAATAATAAATCTTCTTTTAATTTGAGTTTGTAAAATGTTCAATCTTTGATTGTTGTGCAAAATAAAAAGATTTTTAAAAAAAAATCGACGCCATAAACTAAACCTGAAAACAAAAATTACATCTTATAATCTAAATTTATAACTTATATATAACTTTATATAAAATATGCATCATAAATCCATATACATATATCAATATTTTATATTTTTCCTTGAAAATAATAATTACAAAAAAAAAAAAAAATAAAATATGTTCCACATATGTTCCATTTATTTTATTGATTCATTTCTATTAGTATCATTTTATTATCAAAATTATGCATGCAATTACAAATCTATTTTATTTTAAACAGTTTTAATTATAATCTATCTATTTATATCATAAAATTTCTACATTTAAGAAATCTATCAATTCTTGAATTTAACAAATTCTTAAAATAACCTAAAAATAATATATTGATAACTTAATATAACTTTTCTTTAATTATTTCTACAATTCTTATATTTATAGATTAAAGATTTTTTTAAATCTCTAATTACATAATAAAAATAATAAAAATAAATCAGAAAATTCTGATTCTGATTGATTGCGTGATAATTCACCGAGGAAAACTTAGTTAGTGTTAGTAAAAGAAAAATAGAATAGAAAAAGAAATAAAAAATATTTTCTTTTCATATTTTCTTTCTATTTTCTATCAAAATATTCAGAAGACTATTGTTTTAATAAATAATTATATATCATTAATAATATGAAATTATAATATATTAGAGATCATAAGATATTTTGTCGTATTTAGGGAATATGAAAAGAAATTATTATATACGTATTGTGCACACGCGCGCGCGTGTGTGTGTGTGTATGTTATATAAAAAAATATATATATATATTAAATACGAAATATTATTCAACGTAAATGTTCGTTATTAGAATTTAAAACATGCTTTCAAACTGTCACATTTCATAAATATTCGAAAATATTTACGACAAATCAATACGTTCAAATAAAAAAAAATAAAAAAAAAATATGATATTATTACATAAAAACCGCGTTTTATGTTGAATTCAAACATGTCCGATAATATGAATAAAATAATTTTCATAAAAATAAATTATTAATAAAGAATATGTTACTGTACCTGCTTTACTGCATACATCGATTTGGCTCATTGATTATCATGGCGTCTTTAATAATCTGAATAAAAAAAAAAAATAATAATAATAATAAAAGATTTAAAATAAGTGTATAAAATTAAAATAAAGTAGTAATAATTATACTAAAATTAGTCTAAAAGTTTATGATAAAAACTACTGTAATTACTAAACTAATTACTACTACGCAATTACTTGTACGATCAAATGGAAAACGAATAAAAGAGACGAAAACTAATAAAATAAAAATAAAAAATTTATCTTTCAATAGAATAATATTAAAGAAAAAATAATTTATAATAATGATACTGAAAAGAATATTGAAACTCACTCGAAAGTTTAATAAAATCGTTAATAAAATTTTATAATCGAAAAAAAAATTTGAATTATAAATTATTTTCAAATATTAAATAATATATATTATATTTATAGTATATATATATATGTTAAAAAAATAAAATTTTAAAAGAATAATCTACTAAATACTAAATACTAAATACCTACTTGAAAAATATGTATCCATGATGCAAGAATTTATACAACTTGTTTAAGCCATTCAAAAATTAACGAACGATGTTTCAATAAAATAGTTTAAAAAAGAAATAAATGCCATAAAATCTTTTAACTTTTAATGAATGACACTATTTCACGACAATATAAATGAAAAAAATATATATTACAGTATTATTCTTGATATATTCAATTATTTCGAAGAACAAAAGTTTTACAAAAATTTTGAAAGAATTTTCACTGGTTTTTAATAACCCACTAATTGTAAGTACCGTGGCATCGGTAGAACGACGCAATTTGTCTAGCAAATTTTCTATTGGTTAAGAATTTCCAATCAGAATCACGCGAATTTCTTATTAGCTGCAAATTTTCAGTCAAACTCACATAAATTTTATTATTGGCTGAAAGTTTTTATTCAATATTGCGCGAAAATTAAAATATTTTATTTCATAAAAAAATTATAATTTTAAGATATAAATACATAGTATATTTGAAAATTTGTATGTATTGTATGTATTTATTTTAGATAATATTGATTAGTGAATAAAGGAAATAATTATAGACAATATTTGTTAACATAAAATAAAATTATATTTTTAGTAAAAAATTTTAACTTATATCTAAATGTTTAAATTCATATTTTATTCATATATTCATATTATCATTTTTATAATTCATATAATTTACTTATTTAATTTTATTAATAATTATTAATTTAATGTACAATAACAAACAATATAATAAATGATACATTTCGTTTTTTTGGACGTGAGATTTCGTAATAATTTAATAAGTCTATTTTATATCTAATTTATAATATATTTGATATTTATTAATAAATAAACCATAAATAAAATAATAATTAATTAATAAAAAATTAAGTTTATATTCAAAATGGTTAAAGATATTGTAAAAATTCTTGACATTTCATGGAGATTTGGTGGTATGAATCTAACCTCAAAACAAATTATTTAAAAAATTCTTATGCATTAAATATCTTTTTAAGTTAATAAATAATAAATTTGTTTTTTACTAAATAAAAATTAAATATTTTGTTTTTGTAATTAAAATTTAAGCAAATAAAAATGTAATAATTTCTTAACATAATATTTCTCTTTGATGATAAAAAAAATATTTTTCTTTTATGGATAGTTATAAAATATATGTGTATAAAATAATGTAGCATTGAATAAAAAAAAATTTTTACAGTAACTGCAGCAAGCAATGAATCTGACAACATGGGAAAATCATTTCTTCATCTAAAATTAAGTTTAGAAGAAAATGGCAAAACTAAGAATGTTTTTATAGAAATGACAATAAGTGAATTTTATAAATTTGTGCATGATTTAGAAAAAGCAAAGTGTAATCTTGATTTATTACTTTAGATAATATTTACAATAATTTAGTTGTGAATTGGATCATTTTAATATTTTAATAATGTATTATTTTTAATTATATTATTAACAATATTTTTCATATCATTTAAGAAAAATACATACAAGAAATAAATAAATTTTAATCAGATAAGAGTATTATTATATTAAGAAATGATTAATAACATATATTTACAAATCCATTATGACTTTATACAAAAATTAAAAAATTTAAAATATAAAAATATAAGAAAAGTATATTTCATTATGTTATTACTTAAATGTAAATAAAAATATTATAATATAAATAAATTTAATTCATTAAATACCATACCTTAGAGAAATGCTTCCACTAGTTTTAAAATATATAATTGTTTGATTTAATAGCTGTTGCTAATTGAGAATCTATGTATACTATAATCCAAAAGATAAAAACAATATTTCTTGTCAAATGATAAAAGTATTTAAACATTATCACATTTTGAAATTCCATTTAAAGGTTTATGTAGATTTTGTTTTGAAGAATTTGTCATCTGAAAACAATATAAATTTTTATAAATAAAAAAAAGTTGTAACAATACTGAAACAATAAATAGAAAATTGGGAACCTTTATTTATTTTTCAATAGTGAATATACAATCTTTGAATATCTTATTTTCTATCATATTAGTTTTTTTATCACAATAAAATGTGTATCATTCATTAATTACATATGTGATTCATCAAATATCATAATTACTTATGTCTCTAATATAAAAATAAATTTATACAATCTTTATAATTACTTAATTATGTCTCATATTTACATAATTTAATTACTTTATTGTTAATAGTTCAATTAAGATGAATATGAGATTAAAAATTATTGAGAGTATAAGAGTAATAAGAAAGTTGTCAAATTAATACTGATACTCATTTAAAATACTATTTAAAAAGCGTCAAATATATGCAATAAAATATTATAAATTTTTTTGAAAATACGTTTAGAATTGAGATTACATAAAGTTGAATCATTAAACATATGACAAATACAAAGCATAGAAAATAAATGCTTTATAATTCCCGCATTTGAATGTATAAATTAGTAAGAAAAAGATGGTATTTCACAACTTTCATTGTCCTACGTTTTGTAGGAGGAGGACTGACTACAGTACCTCTTTGATTATAAGGTTCTGCTAGTGCTAATGCAGGATTTCTTGAATCTGTTGTTGAACTTTCTTGTAATTTATCTGAGGAGACCTCTTGTAAGGATTTGCTTCTTTTTGCTTTTTGTTGAATAGATTCTAATACTGGTACAATAGCTCCAAGTAAAGGACGTTTAGATGGTTCTCCAGACCAACATTGTTCCATTAATCTCCAACATTCATCATCAAAAGAAGGTAATCTTTCTGGACGTATACCTATAATCATTAATGCTTATTGCAAAAGAATATACAAAATTAAATAATTATTTTGATTTCCAAAATTACCTTTTTTCACACTGGTCCATAATAGTTCTTTATTATGGAATTGTTCAAAAGTGTATGGTAATCTTACATGTCCTGCGCATAAATACCAAAATAAAATCCCAAATGCATATACATCAACACTACTATCATAATGACCAGAAAGTAATTCTGGTGCCATATGGACAGGTGTTCCCACAATGCTTCCTAACATCATAACTTCTGTGATGCAAAATCCAAAATCAGTTAATTTCGCTCTATTTTCAATATCAAGAAGGACGTTTTTCAATTTAACATCTCGATGTACAAGTCCTTGAGAATGAAGATAACGTATTCCTTCTAACACATCTAATGCTATTTGTATACGTTCTAACCACGATAAGCCGGCACGTATTCCGCAATATAAATCACGACTTAAACGATCTGATATCAAAAGAACAGCAGATCCAAATCCAAATCCTCCACCATAAGAATGATCGATAATTGATCCTCTAAGTTTTACTATTCTTTTATGATCAGGAATAGATCTATTATAATAAAATTCCATAGCCAGATCATTCCAATGGCTTTCATCTGATGGAACAACTGATTTAATTGCACAAGGACCAGCTTTACCACCCCAACCATCACAAGCAAATACAATTCCATATTGGCCACGGCCAATTTCTTCAGCACAATGAGGTTTTCCATAACGAACAACATCTATCATTGAAGTTGATTCTAATGCTAATTTAGCTAATCTAGGAGCATGATATTTTCTAAGAGCTATTCTTTGTTCTTCTGTTCTTTCTAATTTTCCAGAATAATAATTTTCTATAGATCTGAGAGCTGCTTGAAATGAATCATGTGATGATTCAAGTTTATCTCCAAATTGCATCAATATTATTTTGGATAGTTTTGTTGCAGATAAAGAATTTAGTATTTCTATTGTCACTTTTCTTCTCCAAGCTACATCTAAGGTGTGAGTTGATGACCATTGCAAAGATGAAGACATAAAAATTAAATTTAATCTTTCTAAAAATGAATATATTGAAAATGGTGAAGAATTATGTAATTCAACATTATATGCAGCTGAGAGTATTTGTTTCAAAGCATCACTTGCTAATAAACAAGTATCGCGTTCATATGTTTTTTCAAGACTTAATAAACAACGCTGTAATGTACCAATAAAACTCTCACGCAAACAATTCACGGAATTTACAAGTTGTTTTGCGACTTTTTCGCATAGACGACCAAGCACTACTCTCTGAACTTCAGAAATTGCAGCTTTAACAGTTGCAGACCACTCTGTCCTTTGATTATTATTAGACATGGTGTTTTGATACAAATAAACATCATTATTAGATAATAAAACATCATTTTTCATTTCTTGAATAATGTTTTGTATTAATCCAGTTATTTCTTGTTGTTTTTCATGAACAATTTTCATTAGATTGGCATACAATTCATTTTCTTTATGTTGAGCATATTGTATTCTTTTAGGAGTTATTTGAATTATACGTGCCATATCAAAAGCACTTAAAATGAATTTTCTTAAGCTTGCTGTATGTACTTCATTTAAATAAGTGCTAGCATTAATAAGATAAGTTTGCAAACATCCACGAATAAAATATAAAATTTGATCTGTTTTTCTACATGAACCCACAAAGTCACTTATATATTGTCCACCACCTAGCCAAGATAATTGATCAACTTCAACAGATTCTTTCATTCCAAGAAAACCTAAATTTGTTAGTTGATCTAACCATGATAATCCAAGTGAATTCATTCTGTCAAAATCAATACTATCATCATTAGTTTTACTTGATGTAGAATCATTAGTATACAGTCGATTTTGAAGTCTATGTTGTTCAGATTCTGTCAATTCAGGATCAATACCATTCAATGATATATTTTCCAAGGATGAGATAAAAAGTACAGGATTAAAAGGATATGTTTCTTTTAAATCTCTTAATTCTTCTAAATTTTGTTCTGTTAAAGGTTGTTCACCAAGTGCATATAAAAATATTGGTAAAATAGATAAGAATTCATTTGCAAGAACTTTTACTGCCCCATTATTTGGAGCAATAAAAATTTGAACACCATCTTTTAATATAGGCAGATTAAGCTGAACTTCAAGCACAGTTGGATAAGTTATATCTTCATTATCAGACTTTGTTAAATCCTCAATTGGAAGAGTACTCCAAGGTTTTTCATTTGCTTGTAAATTTTCAACTAATTCATATTCTAGATCTAATGTGAGACTAATGTGATTTGTTTGACCATAAGTAAGTCTAATCCATCGCCATAATCCATTACATACTGGTAAAATATCATTAGATATTAATGTATTAACTACTATTGCTTTTGCCTTGCTATCTTGTCCAAGAATTATAATAGCTGGAGAATTTGCTAAAATATGTGTGATTCTGTTTAATGTTAAAGGAGGTAATAATTCTTCCACAACATTTTCTGTAAACATATAATTGAATCAAATTTTATTCTAATATTGTTATAGCTTAAAAAGTCAAATATTTACCTTCAGGAAAGAAGTTTTCTAGGTTAATAAGTTCTAATGCTTGTTGAGTTTCTTCAAGAACATGTTGTAATTGATTTCGATTACGTAAATATCTTCTAAATTCTTGTGGTAATTTGCTTACCATTTTTTCAATATTATTTTAAAATTTTTGACACTTCAAAATCTTTATCCTGTTAAGAATTTCATGTTTTATAAAAATGTTTTTAATTTTGTTAACACTTGACATTTAAATCATTAATATAAATAAATTTTTAAATATTTTTCTCGAATCATAATATTCAGTAAAATAAAGTATTAAGCATTCTACTAATAAATTTTTTGATTAAAATGAAAAACAATGTATTGAGATAAAATCAAATCATGTAATATTATTATTAATTAATTTTATAAATCGTAATATGCTATTTTTAAAATCTGATACTTTTACTAAATTACTAACCATTAAAACAGCCAATATATTAATTGTTTTAATCGAAGACCTATTTATCGACATAATAATATATTCTTTTAATATTTTATCATCCATGTAATATCAATTTAATGTATTTTTAATTTCCTTATTACTGAAAATGTACTACACTACTGAACTAATATATATAAAAATAATCTATTTAAATTCTCACCACATATGTACTGATATATAAATATGAAGTAAAAATTTAAGCACTTAATCTATTAATGTCAATATTTTGAAGAATTATTTACTTAAAAATAAAGTTTTTACGAACAATACACACTTGATACATGATGAAAACTAAGCGCGGTTATTTTGACTCAAACATAAACCGTTTATTATAACTGCGTTTGTATTCTGGTATTGACTACAAATGACAAGAAAATATTGAATTGAATGATAAATCGTATGCACCATTTACTTGAAATGATATACTACTTTAGCATATGCATATGTATCCTCATTTTATACGATTAAGAAAACACGAATAAAAAATGTAGAGTAAATAAGATTTCTTCTATTTTAGGAAATAATATCCTTTGACATATTAATATTACATATTAATAGTTGTAAAAAATTTATAGCTATAATAATATATACTTACGTATCATAATATTTATTATACCAATTAAAAATAATTTATCGAATATTTTAAAAAAATACTTCATTATAAATATACATATGTACATATTATACACATAATTCGTATCAATGTTTATCTATAACAGATTTTCTCACATGCACATATTTTAATGAATATACATAAATACGTTTATATTAATCTATAATATAATACTTATGTATTAATCGTTATATATTATGCATTTTTTAATGTGTATATACGTGTGTGTGTGTATACTTAAAAAAAAATATATATATATATATATATACATATATTAAAATTTGTTCATAAAATTTGAGCATAATAAATATAAAAAAATAAAGTCAATACGTTCTATTTATTAAATAATTTTGTATTGTGTGATACTGAACTTAAACATTATTATTATATTTGTATTATATTGATAATTTACATATATTTTTTTCAAATATTTTTTTATATTTAATATTATTAATTTTTATATTCTATATTTTTAACATCTGATATAATATTTTTAGTGAAATCTTTAATCATGAAAATTTTTAGTAATAAATATTAAATTTAAATATTGATAATTGTCTATTGTTGCTATTGAAAATAACTACAAATGCAACAGTCAATTTAGTATTAAATAATCAATCAGAAACGAAATATCGTCTGTGCTTTAATCTTTATTTCTGTTACGATAACTTACTTAACAGTTGTTGATAAATACAGATTTTAATTGTTTTAATTTATTTTCAATGAAAAAATAGTGTTAAATAATTAAAACATTAAACAAAAGTTACTAGATCAGAAATTACTATTCAATATGTATATTTAGTCGTTATTTCATCATCAGATAAAGATTGCATTGGATAATAAATATTTATATTTTATTTACAATTCCATAATATTTAGTTTTAATTTTACTTATTATTAATACTTTAGTTTTATTTTATAATTTATATTATAATAATCAAATTTATATATATAAAATTATTACTAAATTAAAATTATAAAATTATTACTAAAATTATTACTAAAATTATTACTAAAATTATAATAAAATTATTACTAAAATTATTACTAAAATTATTACTAAAATTTTCTGTATGATAGTAAAAACATTGTATAGAAAATTTATCTTGTTTGTATTATATGTTTTCTACATTATCCTTCCTGCATTATCAACGTGAGGTTAAAATGAATTATAAGATCTAGTAACATTATAGATGGATCTGAATGTATTTCCTGTTACTGTTTAGGTGTCGCATATAAAACTTGAAATTGCCGCGCTTTTAGGCAACCATTAGTACTTTTTCTTGTCTCGTCAAAGTGTCGTAGAGTTCAACAATTTATAAAAATACAAGTGTGTTTCAACTGTTATACTATTGATTAATTGAAATATGTAAGTATATATCTTTTTAAAAACGAATATTAATATTGTTGTATTTATTCTAGTTTTAATTTTTTCATTGACTTGTAATTATTTATCATTGTTGCTTGTGGTTAGTTTGAATAAAATGATACGCAATTTCTGCAGTTATATAAGATATAAAATAAGTTTATTCTGTATTTTAAGATGTAAATTAGATTTAGTAACATAAATAGTTTCTAATTTCTAGAATTTAAAGTTTCATTCGTTTCATTGGTTTTATGGTTAGGAGTTATATTGCGACGTATATAGCATTTCGATAGCATGAAAGCGAAACAAAATGGCCGCAAAATTAAAATGTACGCACAATATGCATACAATAATTATATAAAAATCTTGTTCTAATTACGATTTGTTTTACGATCAGTTTTTAATCTAAAAAATTCGCAAGAGTAATCAGTAATCAAATTTATTAGTTTCTATTGTCTTGGGGAGCGAAATTCTTTTCCGATTTTATGGCGTGGAAAGACGATATAATAAGGAGAGAGCCGCCTCGAGCGAAGCTGCAAGTAACGAGGGAATAAGAATGGCTAGGTAGGGTGATTTTAGAGATGGTACGGGAAGGTGGTTCAGGGTACAAGATTTAGTGGACTCGCTAGTAGCCGCTAACTTTGCAAGCTACGCCTTAAAGATATTAAAGTGATATAATATGAATATGAATAATTTTTTTTTACAAATACAATTTTTTATGTATATAGATACTATACAGTATTACATAAGATTTATATAGGTTATTATAAAATTTATTAATAAAGTAAATTAATACGAATTTACGAAGGAAAATTAATAATGTAGTAATGAAATATAAGAAAAGAAATAGAAAGATTCTTTTTGTGTTTATCCCATAACGATATATATCAAACATATTTTAAAACATATTGTTTTTTATTTTTAGATTTCAAGTTTGGAAAGCGATTTAAGAAATTTAACAACGATTTAACATCATCAAAGTTACTAAGTATGGTTTGTTAAATTATTAAATTATGTTTATTTTCATTTTAGTATAAATTTTTATATAACTTATTGTTTATTTTTTATTTTTCTATCATAGATATCTTAATTATAAAGTGGATATGAAACTATTAGAATGACAAACATCAAGGCAGATTACTCTTACACAAAAGTGCAAACACAAATCTTATGGTCGTTTCGGGCAGTTGAATTCCAAGATCTGGATAATGGATCCCCGGATGTACTTCCAGGGCTGCTGTTTCGTGAGTCTATCTTTATTTCTATCTCTCACGATATCGATACATTGCATTGATACAAATTCTATGATGAACAAATTCTATGTTACATTAGAATGCATTTATGCGCTTTTAACGAATATTTTATTCGTTGTATTATCATAGAATTTATATATTATGAATATGCGTATCTTTTTATTATATATATTCATAAAAACTAATTTATTTTTTGCTTGAAACTACAAACTTATCTTTTAACATTTTTATTCAATTTTTAAATTAGTAAATTTATAACGTATATCAATGCAAAATTATTTTAAATAATTTGATATAATATTTATAAGTAACATTGGAAGTTAGATACTCGTTAAAAATTTTTACATCATTCAAACGTAATTGGTGGGATTAAAAATAAGACAAAGATACATGGAGATAGACAATGATCCGTTTTAGTGTTCAGACGGAGGTCAGGATTTTCAGGAGCGTATAATTAATTTCCCATGTCACTCTGAGCCCTTTCCCTGCTCTTCCTCGATCTGCCCCACGCAAATCTCCCGAACCACGACGACAATATTGCTGGCCATTTCGTTCGACAGTGCCCAAGCGCCTCAGTAGTTCTCCTCCGTTCCCGAACCCCTTTTCGGAGCTAACCCTACACAGAGAAAGGGGTAACTTTACGAACAAGCATCTAGCACCGATCTCACCCTCCATCCTCTTCGTTTTAACGATTCTTCCTTTTCTATTCCGTACATACCGACCCGTCAATATCAGTTTCCGTAATTAAACATAACAGATCAACATTCGACATTACATAACCGAGCTTCCTCGTTTTCCGTATGAACGCGTATCTATTATTGGGGTACACTCGTATACCAAACCGTGTGCATCGTCTATATAGGTATTCGAACGATCTTCTGACCCCCGGTTACTCAACTCGAATCGGTTAATTGGATAAATGTCCGATGAACGCCGGGCCATCTCTACCCCAAGTCCTCCTATACTCCGTCGTCTCCATCTCCTTCTCTTACTCCTTTCTGCCATTCTCGGAGCTTTCTGTCGGACTGGTTCCCCTTTTACTCATTTCCGCCTCTGTCCTTATCAGGTTCATTGGGAAAACAATCACTTGTTCCGCAGAGATGAATTTATCGAAGCACAATGTTTTTTCTTCCGTTGGATATTACCGAGAGCAGGAGGGGCGGATTGGCAGAATTAGCTTAGAGTTCTTCGAATCGTCCAATCGTTGATTACAATAACGTTGATAGAATTTAGGAACAATGTAGGATCTAATCATTTTCTTCATTCTTATCTATCTGTATAATGTTATGCAATTTGTTTTTCCTTCCAAGATAATTTGTTATCAATCAGAATCCATTAACACAGACATCAACTATCTTTAATTAAGAATGACGAAATTCTCGAATTAGCTAAAGAATTCTAATCGCGTATATCTATTTATTTTACGATCCTCCTGGTGACAGGTTTCACGGAATATTGCATTTCCAGTTTCCACAAACCATCTCTCTTCATTTATCTCCTTCCGACATCGACTTTACCCTTAGATTCTATAATCAGCTAACGGTATACATAGTTTCATTACGCGATTCACATTATTTATTCTGCACTTAACATACCTTCATTATTTATCGTGTTCATTGATTATTAATCATATACATTGATCTTTAATTAGCATCGAGAATACAACTAATTGTTTGTGACAATTAATTGTATTCTCGATGCGTCCAATATATTCAATTGAAAATTTTATTCTAATCAATGTATGGTATGGTATTTTTTTCAATAGTTTATTTATATTTTAGATTTTCTTTCTTCGTTCTATAACATCTGGCGTCCGTTCAAAATTAGGGTTTCAGGCATAGATTAGGATGCGTCGTATTCACATGCTGGCGGCACTTCTTAGTGGCAACGACGGCAAATAAGGTAGTCAGATTCTAATTGCCTATCATAAATCAAGGACAGCACCTGCACAATTTCGAAATGTTTATGGGGCGGTGCTGTTACATCCTTCATTAGGATGAAGCATAGATGAAACGACACACTGATTCGAGTTTAATTGATGCCCAATTAGATTAATATCGTTAATTACGCTTAGAAGAAAGTGAAACGTCAACTTGATCTGATATCTCCTTAAGGATTATCTCAATTCCTTTTTTTTTTTTTAATTTTTTTATAATTACG